CTTTTTCAAAAATAAAAATCAATTCCAAAAACAAATGTTGAAATTGCAAGAATTTCACGTATTCTCATATGGGAAAGATACAAATGGAAGATAATTTATTGGATCTTTTACTGAGTCTTTGATAAGAAGAGATAAAAAGAATGTTCATTGGCTAGAGAAATAGACAGATGTAAACGTCTTGAAATGTTTCTCAAATTCCTTAACAGAAGAGAATATATATATATATATATATATATATATATATCAGTGTGATACTTCCTTCCTTCCTTCCTTCCTTTCTTCATTCCGTTTGTTACATTCAGCCCGCATTTATCAAGAAATACTCTGCTTCGCACCTGTCCCGCATTAACTACAAAATCGCACGGTAACGCAGCCATTGTCTTCGCCAACTTTGAATTACACGGGTTACAATGGCGTCTTTCTCTTGAGACATCGTCTATACGTTTATAAAATGTACTTGTAGAAGATACGTATGAGAATTACATCGGATAGCATTGATAAACGGGAAAAGAGTGTTTTGGACCAACATTAATTACAGAATGAGTTATTTAAGATTTGATAAAAGATAAGAAAGGAGAAAAAAAAGAGAGAGAGAAAAAAAGAAGAAGAAGAAGAAGAAGAAGAAGAAGAAGAAAATTAAGAAAATCAAGAAAATATTTGAATTAATTTAATAAAACAAAAAGATCTTATTCAAGTTAGGAATGTGTGTTATAGAAAAAATATGTTACAAGAGAAATAATGACGTAGAATTGTTAATTTAATTAAATAATACGCGTAACAATGTTAATTGATAAATCCTGTTTTAGGCTTTATATCCATATGTGTAAAAAGATCTTGCAAAAAGAGATATCATATTGGAAAAGATAGGAAGTAGAAAGAAGAAAGAGAGAAAAGGCAATAGATAAGAGTGGAGAAAAGTTCTCGTACGTTCGGAAATAACGGGAGGTTCCCGAAAAATATCGGCCATCATTCGAACGAGGGTACCCTTTGAAAAGGCGGTGGTCTGAGTCAATCGTCGTAATCTCGAAGACACTTAACACGTCGAGGAATCTGTGCTCGTAAAATCTATCGCCACGATAAAAGTAACTCGTCGGGAAAGCTTTACGAATGGTTAACCGCAAAACCTTCGTAAGAGGAGGTGGTAGTACCGTGATAACTTTTCCATTCGAACGAAATCAAAGAGTATCGTAGTATTTTGAATACTAAATATTTTAAAATATTTTAAAATATGTCACTCGTTCAAAGATGATCTTGCATAGATATTTATTATTCATGAATATTTAACAAATAATAAAGGAATAATTTATTTAGAAAAAAAAAAATAAAAAAATAAAAAAAAGAATAAAATTACATTGCAATGATTACACGTATTATACATATAAAAAATGTATTGTATTTTATTTTAATCCTAAATGTAAATCTACGTAAATATTCTTGAAGAAATATGTATCTTTTTTATTTATCGATTAAAATGTGATGATGACAGCTTGTATATTGTATACGTAAGTATCTTTATACATATGCATAAGTTTGTAATTTAAATAAGAAGATTAATGTGCTTATTAATGCATCTATGTATAATACATCTATGTATATAACATAGATGACAGACAACGTGATTGGTAATAAAACATGTGAGTGATGATTTTTGTGTGTGTGTGTGTGTTGACACAGTATTACATGCGGCAGGGTTGTGTGGCAGTGATGTCAACGACTTGGATAGCAAGCCTGGCGATTTTTGGCGCTTTGGTTCTCCCAAGGGGTGGCTACTACTTCAATGGCTCTGGCCTTCTCGCCTGCGATCCTTTCTTCGCTAGAGCCTCCCTTAGGTATCGCATTTGTAAAGGGATGTAAAGAAGTCAATTATCGTCTCGCTTATTCATCATTCCTCATCATCCTCCAACCTGGCCAATTATCGTCCGATTACGATGTTTCTTTTTCTTTTTTTTTTAATTTCATCTTTCCACCCCTCCCTCTCTCTCTCTCTCCGATACCCATCAATATTTTTTTTCTCTTTTCTTCGAACACAAAATTTTTAATAAATACTTTCTACGACGATCGTTGATTTCTCTTACGTTCTCATTTACTTCTATTCTTTTAACTTAGATTATTATTTTCTATTGATCTCCATCTGATTAAATAATCTTTATTATGTTTTGTAAGCTTTGTGGCTTTCTCTTTCTTTCTCTCTCTCTCTCTCTCTCTCTCTCTCTCTCTCTCTCTTATTATTATTATTATTATTATTATTATTACTTTCATCATCAACATCGATCGCTTCATGGAGGAGAAGGAGTCACGTATTTATTCTTTTTTACTCGTTTTCTCTTCTTCGACTTCTTCTTTTTTTTTTAGAATTCTCGCATGTTGCTGTTTCTACTTTCCAACGACAATGGTGTTGATGTACTGTTATGGCTCGGCGTTCCACGTTAATAAACTACGCTTGAAGAGGGTGGTCTGCGTTAACACGCCGGAGATCGTTAGCGGTGGTCACATAGAGAGG